AAGAAAAATTGTCAGGGGGTGACCCTGGGTGGAGGGTAGTGGGAAGGTGGATAGTGGGGATAGTGGGGGGCGGTTAGGGGTAGTTTGGGGGTAGGGGGGCTGGTTTTCGGGGTAAGGTTAAAAAAATATTTGAAATTTAAGAAATAAGAAAATTTAAAATGTAATTTTTTTCTTGGATGGGGAGGGTTGAGTAATGGGTACGAGGTAGGGTAAGAAAAAAATATTGTAACTTAAGGATGAAGTAAAGTTTTGGAAAACGTTTTCTTTAATTCTTGAAGGAAAATCATTTTCCTTAAATTTGAGGAAAATGAGTTGATTTGAAAAACATTTTCCAAAAATTTTAAGCCAATCAAACATGAGAATATTGAAAAACATTTTTCAAAAAATGTTTTTGTTCATACCAAATTGAAAAGAATTTGAATTGATCAAAGAACCAATCGATCAATTCTGTATCTCCACAAATTGCATTTATGAGGTCAACAATATCTGGGGCTAGTACTTACAAGAAAGAGTTGTGAAGTTCGATCGCTAGTGGACGAAAACAATTTTGCTAATGCATGTCTTCTTGATTTTGCGAAATTCGAATTCAAGGAAAAAGGAATCATAGCATACCTTCATTAAAGTTGATGAGTTCAATGAAGAGCCAATGATAGCCATTAAGTCATTACTCAGTTATATTTAGAGGCTTCGTAAATAGACAACTAGTTATGCTTCAGCTTGACCTTCGTGTCCTTAATTTGTTAGTGATTTAAGTTCTATGACTTACATTAATGAAAATTATTTCTATTACAAGACTTTCCTTCAAATGCTTTCAAACTATAGTTTCACTCATGTCTAGATGTATGCCATGTCTAATTCTATCTAATGGATATGCTCGTGCCTGCAATGACACCGAGTATCAATCTCGCATAGATTCTAGGCTTAGCCGTGCATGGTATGTGGCACAATATATAAATATTTATATAGAAAAACAACATAATTCACATCAACAATAATTTGTTTTAACTGTATCGCACTATGTATCATTTGATAACCCTCAAAATCTTCCATCTTTGATTCAAATCGAATTTCAAATGGTACAGCCAGATATGTAACACGTTGGGATTATTTAGCTACTAGACAAAATCAGAAAAAAAAATCAATTGAAATAAAAGAAATCAGTAAAAAAGTACCTCGCTGGCAATTAATATTAATAGAACGGTATACAATACACTTACTCATCACGCAAAGCTTGGCCAAAATAATTACACATAAATCAGCCTTATTACATATATTGTTACACACATAAAGTAGTAGCTAGCTTCATATTTTTTTACATAATGAAAGCCAAACCATGAGAAACAGAAAGTTTCTTAGTAGTGGCAAGGTGAGTAACAGTAACATGCATATTTTGCCCAGTAATATTTGTGGCCCCATGGTTTGTACTTCTTACAAATACCATATTTAGCTCCATAGTAGTGTTTGCAATGATAACTACATTTGTAAGAGTATTGACATGGTCCATTCCACTTGTCACTTTTTTTCCAACAATATTTGCCTTCTGCCATTTGTATTTCTGCAATAATGAGAAAATTGAACTCATGTTATGTACAAAGTTTAATAAAAAACAAACATTTTAAAAATTCGTATCATTATATTTGGTAGCTATAGAATCACGTCGACTCACCAGTTGCAGCAACAAGGAAGAGGCAAAAGAGGAGGGCGAGAAAAGTAGTGTACTTCGCCATAGCTCTTATTTTTTGTTGATTTCTTGGTGACGAAACAAATAATTGAAATGGTGGTATTTATAGTGTTGGAAACTCAAGTTGTCAACTCAATTCCATTTGATTTGTTCAAGGATTACGTTGGATGTTTGCTTAATTAATTTATAAGATGGATAATTGAAAGTACAAAGAATTAGTCAAGCACAAGTAGCATTTATTTAATTGAAAAGAATTTGAATTAATCAAAGAGCTATTTGAATGATAAAGTCTTCTACTAATTGATCAATTCTGTATCTTCACAAATTAAATTGCTTTTATGAGGTTAACATTCCTTAGTGTTAATACATGTTATTTAACTCAAAATTTTCTACATGGATAATTAAAATGACAGGACATCAAGTACAAAGAATTTGTCCAACACAATTAACATTTCTTTAAATTTGTAAAAGAATTTGAATTGATAAAAGAGCCATTTGAGTGATAAAGTCTTCTACTAATTGATCAATTTTGTATCTCCACAAATTGCTTTTATGAGGTCACCACCCCTTTGTGTTAATACATGTTATTTTAACAATTACCTGATATATTACAATTCCATCACTGAAAACTTGGGATGTAAGCTTCTCACTCAGAATAACCTTGCGGTCCTTACAAAGACCTCTATTACCCTTTCTAAGGACTAAGTAATCTTTTTGATTCTTTGCTACCATGCTGTGAAAGGGAAACAAAGTAATTCACCTTTTGTTTTTATAGCACGAATTAAAATTTACAAAATCAAAAGCTTTAGCAAAAACCAAAAGCGAAGCTCCACCTCCATTTCTCTCCCCAAAACAAAAACCTTATGAGCATGATCAAAGCCACTAGAAGTTGCCCTGATATGGCCATCCCAATCTCCACCAATGAAGATTTTCTCTATGTTTGGTATACCTCTCACCACCTCATCGAAATCCTCCCAAATTAGTGTTTTGGCTTCCTTGTCCAAGCTCACTTAAGGCGCATAAGCACTAATAATGTTCAAAGTAAGCCCTCCTATGCCTAGTTTAATCGTCATCATCCTATCTTATCACTGATCCTCCAAAAATAAGGCCATTCTCTACTAAAATACCCACTCCATTTATATCCCTCAAGCCTCCTAAATACCACAACTTAAACTCATCCACATTCTGTGTCGACACCTACCCATCTGGTCTCCTGGACACAAGCTAAATTTATCTTTCTCTTCTTGAGAATCTTCACTAGCTCTATATATGGACTTCCCCGTTAGCGATCCTATGTTCCAAGACCCTACTCTCAACTTAGGCGAAACGTAACCTACTTACCACTACTTCATCTATATCTTGATCTCGACCAAAGACATGACCCTAGTTCACTATCATTGTAACACCCCGAAAATTCAAACCCAAGATTTGACCTTGAAAATTTCTACAGTCTGGTGCCACAGAAGATTTTCTACGACCTGTAGAAGTATCTACTGACTGTAGATGGGTTGATGGAATCATGCCCTTGAAAGTTGGTTCTCAGGTCTAAATTTCACGGACCGGACTACGTGTCGTAGAAGTTTCTACGGTCCGTAGAAGGCCCTGTGGAAACCAAGTCTTGGAGCACACTCCAGTAAGCTTCCTACGAGCGAGAAGGACGGTCCGTCAAAGTCTCTATGACCCGTATAAAGGATCATTAATCTCCAACTTCAAAAATTCAGAAAACTCAGCATGTTCCGACGAGAGGGTCTACGACCAGTAAACTTTTGTACGAACCGTAGATGGCCTTTCATAGACGGCTTCTGCCAGTTTTAAGAGAGGTTATTTTAGTCTTTTCCACCCATCAAAAATTTAAACCTTGATGTTTTTACACCTAATTAAGGTCACAAGAATCCCCTAAAACAAAGTTGAGTTGAAAGCTTCCTTACCGATTAAGTTTTGATATCATATTCTACTTAGGACAACTTCAAACGACCATATATCTTAGAATATGAAGATTATGTCACGCCCCAAGCCTACACCCTGGGCGGGACCGGCACTCGGAGACCATTGCTGGCCCCAAGCGAACCCTTGGCCTGGCTTTCTTAACTCAGCGGAAACCTACTCAACAGAATAACTCAATGCCATGCAAAGACATAAACAACTTAAATGATACACATTTGGCCAAAAAGGCAACTCGAGTCTCAAAATAGAATATTTACATATATACATAGATAAGAGACTCAAAACTAACTGACTGACTGTCTATGAAGCCTCTAAATACTTAGATGGATGTTGGGACAGACCCCGCAACATCCTAATAAAACAAAACTAAGATAATCAAAGTAACCGAGTCCTCCAGAAGCAAGGAGGCTCACCACTGACACTGGAGTGCTCAACTGGATCAACGGCGTGCTGAATGCTGATCCTGGGTACCTGCGTCTGCATCATAAAACGATGCAGGCCAACTGGCATCAGTACATGGAATGTACGAGTATGCGAGCTGGAAATACTAAACCACAACTTAAGATT